TTTTCTTGACAATAATAAGTCTTTTCTTACTTAATAAGAAGTGTAAAACATATTATGTCAATTTTTATAAGCTATGGCCTTGATGAATAAGCTTCCAAAATCTTAGAAAGTGTCATTATGGCTTGATTTGTACTTCTCCAATAAAATCTTTATTCTTAATATCTTTCAAAGAGTTAGTTGTTGAATCTAATAGTGTAAGCAATAAATTACTGTAATAAATTTGTTCTCTGTATTGTCAGTAATAAATCTTTGATACTATCTTTGAACTCATATCAAAATTGATTAATAAAGATTTTTTCATTCCAATCCATGTTGCAAGTAAGATATTAGAATTTAGCAGCATATATAGTGACTGAACATGAATCTTATTGTAGCAATACAAGTTTGGTCTTTGCTATCTTTTTTCAATCATTTTTTGTAAATACAATTGCAAATACTTCTAAGAATGAATTCAAATCATAGAGTAATTGTGAATCTTTTTTCATCAAAGGTACAAACCAAAAAAGAACACTCCTAAAGAAAAGTATCTAATAAATCTAACTTGAGTAAATCTATAATTATATTAAAAAGGATGTAATTTTAGATAGAATTGTATATGTTGTAGAAATCCTTGAAGTTTTGATCTTATTCCATTAAAATTCTTAAGAATAATTATGCTTGCCTTTCTTATACTTATAGTAGCAAGACTCCTTAAATTCAATTATAAACTTGGTTTACTTGCTTCTCTTAATTGCATAACTTCTTTGCATAGACTTTGAACTTCATTGTTGACTTTTTCTATAGATATAGGAATAGTGCCTCTATAATTTACATTAAAAATACGAGAGATATTTAGTCTTGAAATATAAACAAACTAATAAAGATTTGTAATAATTGCAAATCTATTTTCACTTTTGTTGAGAGTAGTATCCATGATTTTTCCTTCTATAGACAACTTAAATAAAATCAAAAAGTTAAATTCGAAGGAAATATTTCACAACCTTTAATATCAAATAAAAATTTCTATAAAGAACAATAATCTACTTTCTTTAAAGAAAAAATTAATATTAAAAATCTAAAATATTTGTTTAAAATTGGAAAGTCCACAACCTTCAAAATACAATAATGGAAGTGGAGTAATCCACTCACTTTTAAAAAAAGATAAGAACAATAAGTTAATATCCTTATCAAACTATCAAAGATATGAATCTTGAAGAATGAAATCGTTAATGCATTCTTGTGTTACTTAAAAAGACTAAAAAAATTATTCAAAGATGATAATATATTGAACTAGAATGGCTATTACCAAAGACAAGATGACTAAAAAGTCTTAAGACAAAACTAAGTACTAGAAAGACATTGATAAGAATGAAGAAGGCTTCACTCTTGCTTCTATATATACTCTCTAACTAGGAGCTATGTGGTGATATTCTATAAGACTTCCAATATGTGTTGACTTTCCTAGACACATGTCTTAACTTACAAGCCAAATTATCTATATATATATATATATATATATACTACATAGTTAACTTGTTCTATAAGCTACCAATATGTATGATATATGGTTAGCTTCTTAATCAAGTTTCTAACCTACCAATCAATTAAAAACACATGTAAAATCAAAATCAAATCTATAAAACTTCTAAAAATCTTCTTTAGAAGATATTATAAAATTAATCTATATTTACTTCCTTCTATTTGATCATATAGGTAGTTGTTGGAAAAAATACATATATATTTATATGTGACATTTCTTTATGATTTCTTTACATTTTCTATAAGACTTTTATATTATTTTTTTATGGATTTTTTAAAGATTTTTTTAGGATTTTTAAAATTTAATTATGATTTCTTTGACTTAGTTAAAATTTCTTTAGGAATTAATTAATGTTGTTATGGATTATTTAAATTTATTTGGAATTGACAAGAGTGAGATAAGATGAAGTAATCCTTTATCTGAAATTGATAGGATGTATTAAAGATAACTAGTAGTTTAAGATTGCCAAAAAGTTGATTCTCAACATCTTATACAATCTTTTAAATTATAAATCTAACTTCAAAGACCTAATTAGTGCATTCCAAGGCCAGTTTTCACATGACACAACAACATCTTTAAAAATCATCATCCTTACTGAATATTCTTACAAATGAATATTTTCCACAAGGAGCATCAGCAAGCAGGAATCCGCTGGTGGTAACAAGGACGTATTGTAGGAGGTAGGCAAAGGCTGAGTGAATACTGAAGTGAAGAGTTACTAAAAATTGATTACAAATTTTTGAAAAAGAAGATTAAAAATACTTAAGAATGATGCCACAAATCAATTGCATGCAACAAGAGATGATGATAAGTCCAGACATATTCCAGGTTAAACGAAAGCAGTATTTGACCCTATTCCATTTTCTGGAAGGATTTCTTCAGTCCCGTTAGAGTTCCAACTCTGGATGTCCAGGTAGAAAATACGTCGGAACATTGCACCCAAACCAAATATGACGTGAATGAATCAGGTGGAGATATTTGGTGTTATCCCAGCTTTTATCTTGGGAATATTCTGCACTCAGTTGCAGAATATGTCTTGCATGGCGAAAAGTATAATGATTTTTTCAGAATTTAACATTAAATGGTGAAATGAGGTGTTCATCACATGCCTGAACTTTGACAATCATGTCACTTGTTTCCATATTCTTCCTACGGGGTTGACATTTAAGCACGTTTCAGGAGCTGGTTGTCAGCCCAATTGATGGGTTCTAGGCAGTGTAGAACTTGTAGTAGATAAGTCTCCTCGGTCTTGGGCAAAGTTCAAAAAACAAATGACTCGTTCACATTGCTGATAGTAAACTCATCCTCAGCTTCATCCCCTGAGCATGTTTGAAGCCAGTGGCACCCGACAACTCGGGGAAATAAATGCAGCTCCCAAAATCCATAAAGATGCCAAAGAGAATGAAGGGATCTCCCACCCGTGTCGAAAATAAAGGCAGATTGTTTGTATCGGTACGTACTTTCTATATCTTTTCCACGTGAAGCAGCGACTGGAGAGAGCACTTATTCGAGCAAAACCGGAAGAAAGTGTTACATACTCAACCGAGTTGATGCCATGACCAGAATTGGCTGCAGCTTGCGAAGCTTCCGCATTGGGTAGATTTTCAAAATATCCAACTGAAACCAAGGTGTTGCCGGCCAACTCCGACGGGAAAATGAACATAAGTTTTTGGAAAGTTTACTCCATCCAGACGAAGTGGGAGATAAGAATTCACTTTTCCGCTAACATGGAAAGGGAACACTTGATTTCACAGACTACGCACCACCTAGAACGTAGACAGGGACCAGCTATGCACAGCAACCAGCTGGAATTTAGTCTGTCATGACTAACCGCCCCAGCTTGGTGTAAAAAATGGGATAAGTGAAATCACAATAGATATTGTGGACCCAGGTATGAATTATTGTTGCAGCTACTGCCGAAGTATGTCCTTGTTATGCCGTCACTAGGCCGAAGGGGCTTTTATTACAAGTTCCCTGCTCTCTGGATAGATTGTTTAGACCTGCGAAGCAGGAGTTTCAGATGGGGCGAAGGTTGAGGCCTTCCAGACACATCATCCTGATCAATACAAAATGAATTTTAATTACGTCTTATTCAAAGTATAAAGTGCTAAATATAGACTCAGCACTAGTGTACCAGAGTGTAACAAATGCTTGTGTTTTCGATTCTGACTTCGTCATAATGACGACTAGAGTTTCATGTCGTCTACTTAGGGGACTGTCTTTGCCCCTTCAACTTTTAATTGTAAATTTGATGCTCTTGGAAGTTAAGTTTTTTTTATTAGAAAATAATTAATAGGTACTTATGAAATGAAATTATAAAATAGGCAGTTCTAAAATAATTGAACAGGTGCTTCCAAAGTCAACAATCATGAACTTTTCAATCCTTAACAACATGCTTCACGCAGTTTTCACTTCGATAACTCTGATCGAAAAGTTACGTTATTGAAACCAATAATCGTTGCATGGACCCACAAAAACGACCCCATAAACTCAGAACGATAATAGCTCCCAAGGTCAGGGGTGGTGTTTGTTGGTGGTTTATCCAGGTCAAAATGCGAATCAGCTGATTATTATTTACAGGGAACGAGCAGCCGCAGTTACATCGCAAGTAAACCGCCGACGTCAGAGTATCGTCATCCGAAGCTTTCGCGCATTAGGGGAAGGCGGCTGTACGTCCTGGCTTGAAAGATCATATATCGTACTTAGTTCGTGCAGTTGAAACACAACACAAGGTCTGACGCGCAAACCTTGTCGGCATTGCTGATCCTGTGTCGATCTGATTTGGTTGACAAGGGGCCACATTGAAAGTAGGTGTGGAAACTTGCGATTCTTCTCGCGGCAAAGGGGTTCACCAACTCGTTTAACAAATAAGCAAGAAGAAAAAAATTGAGCGAGTCTGACTACCACCGTTGAAATTTTTTACACTTTGCCCCTGCGTCATTTATGCCAAGTCCCACCATTAGTCACCTCGTGGGCGCCACAGACCAACATCGGAGAGATAATCAATCGTGGTGTGGATGCAGCTACTTCATGGTTTTCTCTTTCCGCTTAAGATAGAACTGATGCGTGCAGCTCTGTATATCTGGTGCTTTACACTTACCGAAAGTTCTTACCCACCGTTACTATCTCGTTGCTGGATGTCGCGCACTGGTCCTCAGCAGTTGTTTAAACACTCTGCATACGCAAGAATTCGTCAGTTCGCAAACATCATGTTTGTCTCATGCTGTTTCTGGTTCTAATTCTGGTAAGCTCAATGCGAACGATGGCCCCGCTCCAATATCTCCCCAAAATTCAACTCTCCACCTCCTAAACCAACAAAATCTTTTCAACGCACCTCTCTGCGTGCAAAGAAGCGCTTCTCGAAGGTAGAAAAACGAGGCATTAGTAACTTCTGCAACGACCTGGACTTTCCAGCCTGATCAAAACGACCGCCGTACCTGACAGTACAAAACCCGAGATGGCAATAACAATCCACAACAACTACCCCACCATCCATCCGTCTTCCACCCTCGCATACCTCCGTCGCTCATCGAGCTCCCCTCGCTCATCACTCCTGCTCTGCACCCTCAGCACCATGAACTCGGTGTGGGCAGCGCTTGCTGTGTTGCTGGTGGTGGGTGTTGTGCCCAGGTTCACCACGGCTGCCGACGAGGACCCGCTCCAGGATTTCTGCGTCGCTGACCCCCAGGCCGCCGTCACCATCAACGGCGTTACCTGCAAGCCTGCTGCTCAGGTGACGGTTGATGACTTCAAGACTGATGTCTTGAAAAACCGCGGAAACACTGCCAATGCTAACAATGCCGTCGTGACGGCTGCCAACGTGTTCAACTTCGGCGGCCTAAACACCTTTGGCATCTCGGCCGTGCGCATCGACTACGCCAAGGGTGGCATCAACCCACCGCACATTCACCCCAGGGCCACGGAGATTCTGTTTGTGCTGGAAGGGGAGCTGTACGTTGGGTTCGTAAGCAGCAATGGCACCGTGAACACTCTGTTCGCCACCTACCTCAAGAAGGGCGACCTGTTCGTGTTCCCCCGCGGCCTGGTGCACTTCCAGCTCAACGTGGGCAAGGGCGATGCGTTTGCGTTTGGGGCGCTGAGCAGCCAGAACCCAGGAGTGCAGCAGATAGCGCCGGCGTTGTTCCAGCCCGACATCAAGGACGAGGTGCTGGAGAAGGGCTTCAGGATCGACCGCTGGATCGTGGACAAGATCCAGGCCAAGTTCCGTCCCTAAGCGCCGGAATTGTCATTCCTGCAGTCGCCCAACTGCCGCCACAGTGTTTCGTCATCAATTGCTTCCGGCCTTCGTCGTGATGCACCTCCTCCGAATGTGAGAGTTGGTGTTCTCAGTTTAGTTTCTCATACCGTCCGGTAGAGGTGATTCTCAGGCAGTTTATCGGGTACTATCGTTTTCGCTCAGGAATTCATGCCGTGGTGTTGTTGCAATTCATCAGATTTCACGGTGTATCGTCGCCTCAGTTCGGGGTTCAGACGCACTCACTTGGTGTTGAAGCAATGATGTTTTGCGTCTAAATGTGGTGGGGAGTTTGCGTCACCAATGCATCCTGTAGGGGTTGTAGTGGAGAGCCTGTCGAGAAGGTAGACCAGACCATGTCAGTGAACGACTATAGCTGCTGGATCGTGTTGGTGGTTTGGTATGACCCATGTTTATGATCTTATTGGACTTGCTTTATAGTGTCATTGGTAATTGTAGGCGTGATGCTGTGCAGGTTTTGGGCTTGATGTCCGATTCAAGTGGTCTGTGTGCAAGTTTAATGTGCGTTCTCGACAGTGGGTATCAACATTGATTAGCATTGATGCGAGGCCAAATACTACGAGTTGTAGTTGTTTGTAAATAAATATATAAATTATATATATTTTTATTTTGTATATTTTGTTTTAAACTTTGTATTTAAAATAAACCATGTCAGACTTGTATTAATGTAATTATTTGATTTATGTTGTAATTTGTTTATATTGTTTATAATCCTTAATAGCAAAGGTTTTAAAATTAATATGTTTGTTTAATAGTAAGCATATCATCATTAATGTAATAAATCAAAATATATATTTTTTTATCAAATATTGGATGATGTTTTTAAAAAATTATGATTGTTATAGTAGTTTTATTTTATAATAAATTTGAAAGTTTGAAATTATGATTCACTAAATTGTGTTTATATAGAACTTGTTTAACTTTATAAATACCAAATATTTTAAATGATGCACTTTATAAGCTACATTTTGGATTGACACATAACAAATTTATTTTTCTAATGATATATATATATATATATATATATATATATATATGTGAATAAAGATATGGTATAATTATAAATAATTAGAAATAATTTAATAATTTAGTTTTAGTTAAATTATATTTAAATATAAATTAAATATTTTTTTAGAATATATGCTCATATTGTTAGAATTTTGTTTTTTACATCTATATTAGTTGAGGATTTGTGATAAAGATAAATTTAATTAATAAAGTTTAAAATAAATAAATTATGAAAATATATGTATGTATATGTATATATATATATGTATATATATATATATATATAAATATCCATATATACATGTATTATTTTATAATACATATTTAATACTATTAAAAAAATTTATTATTTTAGGTTTAACATAGATTTATAAATTAAATATTTAATTTTTTAAAATTATTTTAAAATAATTCTATAAAGAAAATTAAGATTTATAATAAACATTAGAGTAAAAAAATTATTAATTAAGTGGATGATTAAAAATTACAATCATCTTTATAATAAAATTATTTCTAATTATATTAGACTTTGTAATATTTTTATAGACTCATATTATATCTTTATTTTTTATTTGATAATTAGTTCATTCTTAAGTTTTTTGTCAACAAAGAAATTAAGTGCAATGCATACTTTGAAAATTATTGTAAAATAAAAGCATCTTTAATTTTAAATTTCTATTACTAAAATAAATTTTGAAATAAAAAATATAATATATTCTATATATATATATATTATTTATTTTATTTTTTATTTAAAAATATTTTTTTAACATAAGATTTTTTTTATTAATTTGATTCATATAACTCTTAGTATAAATTGACCATTTTAAATAATCTTAGTCCAAATTATGTGTTATTGATTTTTAAATCATTTAGATAAATAAATATAAATTAAAATATACTATGTAAATATTAGTTTTTTTAAAAAAGAAATAAAAATCTTCTTATTGGTTGGTAGGATCTGAAGTATTACCACTTTATTGGTTGATCTTATTCTATTATTTTAAAAATCAATAATTAAAGACAATCATGATATTTAAAGTAATAATACTTAGGTTGTTACAACTTTATATTATCAAATTTTGTATTCTATTATTATTTCTATAATAAAGATTCTATAAAATAACTTATAAAAAATAACAAATTTAACTTGCTATTATAAACATCTAATAAGAAGATTTTAAAAATATTCATAAAATATTATATTAGATTTAAAAAGGTACTATAAGATTTTTAGAATATTTTAATATGAGATTTTAAAAGATTCTTAAAATATTCTTATAGAATATTCTAAAAGATTTTTAGAAAGTTCTCAAAAGTTCTCAAAATATTTCAATAGATTTTATAAAGTTCTAAAAAGCTTAACAAAATTGATCGAGAAGCTTCCTAGAGTTGCTTCATCAAGTAATATAGAAATTTCTTAAGAAGCTTTCTAATATCTAGTATATATTGAAATTGAGGTAAGGCCTTAGTCTTATCTTCCTAATCATCTTCAAGGTGCTACAATCCATACGGGACTTGTGCACCTCCTTTCCTACAAAGACTACACTAACTATTGGTCCTCCTATTTTCTACTAGTAGAATCAATAATTTTATATTTTTGACTTCACCATAGTGTTTAAAAACACTCAAATAGCCTAGGAACTAATTGTGGCCTTCAAAACTTACTTCATTTCTTCATAAAGGCTCTCAAAGTGGTAAAATTTATTTTTACCAAAGTCTTAGAAATTATTCTAAATTTTCTTTAAAAAATTATAAATAAATTCTAATTAAATTCTAAAAATTCCTATAATGGTTCTATAATACTAATATTAATTGAAGACTATAATTTTCTATCTTGATGATTTTTATAGTGATAAAATAAATTTAAATCTACTATAAATCATACTTTCTATATAACTAGCTAAAAAGACATGAGATTCTTTTTTATGCTTCTTCTAACTACTAAATTATATTTATAGTTTTTCTTATAAATAATATATATATATATATATATATATATATATATATATATATATTGAAGGCTAATATAAATATTAATCTTAATAAATATCTTTCAATACTCAATAATAAAGAAAAAAAATACTAAATAAACTAAGATAATTACCTCTAAGACTTACTAAGACTTCAATTCTACAACTAATATTCTAATTTTTTATTTGTCTAAAACTTTCCATACTATTCACCATATATTGTGGTTCTAAGCATTCTAAATGCATCTTTTTATCCTATAAAACTAATGATTCAAATTGATGACTCACACAAGGACATTTGTGTGGGGCTATGGGAATTCAATTTCAATCCGTAAACCACTACTTAGTACCTTTAGAGGTTAGACCACCTCCCATCCTTCCTGAATTCACATATCCTAAGAATAGGAATAGAGAGAAAGAAGGCTTTAAGAATGAAGTCCTTAAAAGCCAATATAGATTCCAAAATGAACTTGACTACCAAATGAAGGCTATACAAGAGCAAATGACTTTATTGATTAAGAATCAAAATTTAAACCAAGCCCCACCTTCTATAGAATCTGATAGGCACCCCTTTTGGACTTTAGTGTACTCGATGTAGCCAATTTGGACATACAAGTCAATTTTTCTCAAATTAGCAAAATTACCAATAGAATGAGGAAAGACCACAATCATATATTCTACCTCATAGGAATTAAAGGATGGTGGGTTCAAATTCCCAATTCTATTCTTAAAAAAATCCCATCCATAGCTTTAGGAACCAACAATAACAACAAGAATAAGAGATATACCACTTTTGTAAAAAAAGCTATTCCTTGTATAGTTGTTGAATAAAAAATAGAATAATATATAGAAATTGTGAGAAAAACCATCCTATAGATGTATATAGATAATTTGATAAAATAATTTTCTTACAATTTCTACAAAAAAATTATCAAAAATAAGTCCAAGATCAATTGAAGGAGGCAAGAACCTCAAATTTGGATAATAATTTAAGGCTTTTTAATCTTTTTTATGATTATAATAATTATCATCAAATCTAATATTTTCTTTCAAGTTTAAATATTTAACAAGTATTTATTCCATTAAATAGTGGCTAATTTCAATGTAGTCAAGAAAATAAAGAAAAAATTCTCAAAATTTAAGGTCTTTAGAATTATCAACCAAGAAATAAGATTTTCAATCTATTATAGACCAACCTTCATCTTTTCAAACTTACTATATCTTCCATGAAAAAGTTCCTAGTAAAGATAAAAAACTTATTAATATGCCAACCTTGGCAATTATGATAAGATCTTGGCATATTAGTCCTCTTCCTCCTATTTCAGTAGAGATTGAAAATAGCTCAAAAGATTCTCTTTACTTCTCTGATCTAAACAAAGCTATAAGGGAGGCAATAGACAACATGAAGAAGTTACAACCCTTTCTTTCAAATTTTGAATCCAACTTCTTTTAGAAATCCAAAATAATAAAGAATTTTTTTTTATAGAAACAAAATTCCTTCTACATAAGTGTAGGAAGGTCCTAGGATTCTTAAAACAAAATATAGTTCTTCACTTCTTTTAAAAATTAGGAACCAAGAAAAATCCTATGATTTATGAAAAAACATGAGTAAAATTAAGGTTGATATAACCATTGCTTAATTATTGGAGGTTTTTCAAATAATGAAAAGAATTTTAAAATAGGCTTGCCTACTAAAAGATGACAAGTTGTCTAAAGAAAAAATCCAAGCTCATGTAAGAACAATCCAAAGAACACAAGAGGTTAAGGCAATAGAATTGAAAGTATCAATAGTTGACAAGATCATTTCCTACATAATTAAAAATAGTAGTAGATTAAATATAATGCTTAAAAGAACCATAGAAAAATTTGGTATTAATATCATTGATCTTTTTTCTTATGTAATTAATATGACTAATCAAAGCCAAAACATCCTTTTGGATAAAATTAGTAGATGTAGAATGACAGTAGGTGGCAAAGAGTATTTCTTTACTTTCTATGTTATTTTTATGCACCCAATTAAGAATTCTTATTCCTTACTATTAGGTAGACCTTTGTTTAGGAAAGTTAAGGTAAAAATTAATTAGAAGAATAAAAAGTCCTATATAATTTATGGCCCTTCAGAAAATCTAACAAAGATCCTTATTTAACTCCAAAGATTAGCACTAAAAAAAACCTCTACTCATTCTTTTGAAGATGAAACATACATTCTTCAATCCAAGCAATAGTTGAAAAAAAAATGAGATTTGTTAATTTAGGAAGAAATAAATTGATTCAAGCTAATGTAATCAAACCTATCCTACTAAGTTGTATAGGCTCCAGATTATATGATTGGGAGGTAGATAGAAAATTCACCCAATAGTTAAAAAAACATTGTACTTCAAGTATAGATGAAAAAATGAATGTCAAGTTTATAGAAATATTTTCTATTTGACAAAACAATGAAGTAAAAGTAGATTTAGCCACCTTAGTTGATGACATTAAAATTGAAGATGTTCTTAGGATGAACTTTGATGGCACTTAAGGTCAACAATTAATAGACATGATTGAAGAAGTTGACCTTAATCTCTTCTAATAATTTATATATACTTCCACTATTCTAATAGCTAAAAATGAAATGATTATTTATCTATCAA